GAGAGAAACTTCCAGGCTGATTCCAGAGTTTTGCTTTTCCCACAGAAACTTCTAGATTGGCGCTGTGAAATTTTTCCGGAAATGTCTGGAAATATCCAAGGTAAATTTGGGGGGGGGGTGCAGCGGGGGTTGGGTAACAGCTGGGGTCCTGGGTGGCGTGGGGAGGATGGGCTATGATGGCCTCAGACTGGGGAAGTCAGGTGATTCGGGCTCCCTGAAGTCCTCGGCTTTACGACTGGCCCAATGTTTTGGTCGTTAAGTGAGACATTGAAGAGAGTTTTCCCCACGTTTTAATTTTTCTCCCCACCATTGTTAAGTGAAGCTCGGAGCTACCCCAGAGGGGAAGAGTCCAGCTAGACCTTGACTTACGACCACAATGGGACTCCAAAATTTTGTGGTTGTTAAGTGAGACATTGGAGAGAGTTTTGCCCCCACATGACCATTTTTCTTGTTGTTAAGTGAAGCTCAGGGCTTTCTCTGGAGGGGAAGAGTACAGCTAGTCCTTGACTTAGGACCACAATGGAGTCCAAAAATTTTCGGTTGTTAAGGGAGACATTGAAGAGAGTTTTGCCCCACGTTACCATTTTTCTCACCACCGTTGCTAAGTGAAACTCAGGGCTTTCCCCGGAGGGTAAGTTTCCAAGTATCCTCAATTTACAACCCAAATGGAGTCCAAAATTTTTCAGTCGTTAAATGAGACATTTGTTAAAGGGAGTTCACCCCCCGGTCGTTAAGCAAATCAGGCTTCCCCATTGAAATTTGTGTGGGTCACACACACACACACACGGACAGACGGACGGACTGACGGACGATGGCTGCCACCGTTGCAAATATGAAGCGGTGGCTAAGCGTCTGAATTTTGATCGAGTGATGACGGGGAATGCGTCAACGGTCGTGTGAAGAAACGGTCGTAAGTCCTTTTTGCCATCGTAACTTTGGACAGTCGAGGAAGGAAGGGTGGTTAAGTCGAGGACTGCAAGCTTAAGCTCCCTACAAGAATCTGACCTACTAACGGTCAGGGGGGAAATGAGCGGGAGATAAGAAAGGAAGTCAAGGTGGGCTGGATTGAGGTCGCTTGGAAGCACACAGGGATTCTTAACTGATGACGCCTTTGACCCCGGTCATCTACAGTGCTCCTGACCGGTCCCCCTTCTTCTCTCTCCTCTTCCTGCTTTGGGTTTGTAGGGCCCGAACGGCGGATCCTCCTGGTGGGCATAACCGGCACGGGGAAAAGCGCGGTGGGCAACACCATCCTGGGAAGCCCGGTCTTCGAATCCAAGATGTCATTCGTCTCCGTCACCCAGACTTGCCAACGGGAGGAGGCTCTGCTGAACGGCCGGAAAGTGGTGGTGGTGGACACGCCGGGCTTCCTCGACACGGCTCGTCTGCCGCTGGAAACCTTGGCCGAATTGAGCAAGTGCATCAAGTTTTGCCCCCCGGGCCCCCATGTCATCCTGCAGGTGATGCGTGTGGGCTGGTTCACTCAGGAGGAGAAGCACGTGGCGCGCTTGATGGAGTTCTTCAGCTTGAAGGGCAAGGATTACATGATCATCCTCTTCACCCACAAGGACAAGCTGGAGGGCAAAACCCTGGAGAAGTTCATCGCCGAAGGCAATGCGGGCCTGAAGGAGCAGGTGTACCAGTGCGGCAACCGCTTCCTGGCATTTAACAACAAGGCTGAAGGCGCAGAGCGCGAAGCTCAGGTGGGCCAGCTGATGGCCATGATTGACGCACTGGTGCAGAAGAACTGCGCCGCGCCGTGCTACACGGAGGAGATGCTCAAGGCTGAGAAGGAGCACTTTGCCAAAAACTGTGGCTTTTCCTTGCTGTCTCCTTTCCTTTGAGGGGGACGGCGGCGAAACGTTCGGGCCAGCTTCCAGGGGCCGCAACGGCAACTCCACGGATCGTCTTTTGCTCGGCTTGTCCCGCTTCAGCTTTCTGCTTCCCCCTCCAGAACTCCCCCACAGGAGATTTTCATGGCGGAGTTTCCCTGAGCTGATTCCGTCTCCCGAGAAGCTGGTTTCTCCACGGGGTTGAAAGGGGTCCCTGCTTCCTCTCTTCCTTTC